GCCAATATGAATATGCAAACTTACGTCACACACTGGGCAATGGAAACGACTTCCAATAATTTCCGCTATGCAGGTATTGCAGCGGTAGACGATTACATTGCACTGGCTTTGCAGCTCGATGAGCATGCACAGTGTAGCGTACTGCGCGTGCCGCAAAGTTGTAAACTCGAGATGATTCTGACGAAAGTACGCAAGAATTGAATCCCGACTCTCCATCACATTGACGCTTTGCTGCTCACACACATCCTCCTGCATGGGTTTAAGGTTGGCAACCTTTTCTGAAGAAATCAGCGTGATGGTTAAGAATGCCTGGCCAAAAGGAACAAGAATAAAGGTAATGTAAGGAAATTTTGCCAGCAACGAATACAAGAAATCAGCGTAGGCGATAATACCAGCAACACCCAAGGAGCTATTAATCTAGAAGAACTAAGAGAACTTGAGACAAAAAATACAAACAAAATCTGGAAACACACAGTGGCCAATATGAATATGCAAACTTACGTCACACACTGGGCAATGGAAACGACTTCCAATAATTTCCGCTATGCAGGTATTGCAGCGGTAGACGATTACATTGCACTGGCTTTGCAGCTCGATGAGCATGCACAGTGTAGCGTACTGCGCGTGCCGCAAAGTTGTAAACTCGAGATGATTCTTACGAAAGTACGCAAGAATTGAATCCCGACTCTCCATCACATTGCTGCTTTGCTGCTCGGCCACATCCTCCTGCATGGGTTTAAGGTTGGCAACCTTTTCTGAAGAAATCAGCGTGATGGTGAAGAATGCCTGGCCAAAAGGAACAAGAATAAAGCTAATGTAAGGAAATTTTGGCAGCAACGAATACAAGGAATCAGCGTAGGCGATAATACCAGCAACACCCAAGGAGCTAGTAAGGCCGTCATCACACTTCGTTCTCTGGCTTCCCCTTACGTCTGCGTCCACAGTGAAAAATCCAAAACGGGTAGTCGTGTCATCAAACAGGCACAGTTCTTGACCAGTACACGCGGTCACGTTTTGGAGAAATTTGAAGATTCGCACGTACAAGGTGGCCTGGAAACAGACCGTGGGAGATACACCCTTTTATACAAAAAAGTGGCCCACTCCCTACCACGTCTACGTTTCCCATTTCTTCTGCTCCCGCTTTCACTTCATACATGGATCATCATGACAACCGACCAAAACCTTATGTGGATGTAGACACAGCGCTTTGTACCGTAGTGTGATGACAGCGTTACAGCTGGGGCATAAACTAAGATACTAGTAGAAGGTTCAACAAGAAATGGTTTCAATAAAAGAGTAACACCCGAAGGCAATAATTTTACAAACTAATACCATTATGAACTTAGAAGTTGCGACTTTGGCGGTACTAGTCATGAAGTTGGTTGCTCCAACGAGGAGCACCAACTTCTTGTCGAACTTTACACACTGTGTATTGAGCAGGCAGTGGTGCTTTCTTTCAGGTTTGCCGAGCAGAAGGTGCTACGTGCTCCTCGTGTGCTCCGGATGGCAATCGTGAGTCAGTCAAGTGTCAAGTGCGGCAAGAAGCGTGTGCTCCTCGTTGGAGCAGCCAACTTTAGTACCATTATGACACACCAATATACTCTACAAAAATAAGTCACTTTTAAACATCGAATGTTACGAGCGGAAATTCATTTTAATATTCAGATACAAGGGCATACGTTTTCGATAGCCACCTCGCATAATCAAAGGACGACAGAGAGAGTGTCATAATTTGCAATCACCTGTGTCCCACAGATGGGGCTGTATATTCTGATATGCTTACAGTGTGTACGTCGCAAACTTTCCTCACCCAAAGCCAGGCTTGCACTGTAAATAGAGAGAGTATTGCGACGACCTAAACTGTAGGACTGAAACGAACACAATTTCTCAGCAATCGAACGTTCTTGACTCTAACGAAAGAACCAACGAACAAATGTTCTTGATTGATAATTCATGCAAATCGTCAGAGTTCTGACAAGGGCATGAATACCCCGCCACATGATACAGGCAAAAAAGTATGCTTCAGGGAGGAAACCAACGCCATTGACATAAAAACCTTCAGCGACCTTGCTTCGCTCTCCGTTGAGAGCAACATCGCCCCGGAAACGCTGTCGGATGGCTCCGTAAGGTTGCACGCTGATTGTAATAAAACATTTGTGTCGACAATATTGGGAAAAAAATTTCAGTTCTAACATTCGTTACCTCACAAATGTTCATTCTGCAAAGCTAAATTAACGAATATTTGAATAGTCGAGATTTCAGCCCTATACTAAAGCATGTCTCATGCACGGCTTTCCCTTCCCAACGGTGCATGATTCTCCCACAATTGCGAATTTCGACCAAATTATTGATAACGAAATTTTCATGTGGGCCATTTTGTGGGTAAAATGGCTAAAAAAGGCTTTTGAGAAGAATATCATAACTTGTCATCTTGATTTTGATTGTGAAGGGCTGCACTAAAACTGATTTCTTGCTCATGATATTCAACTCCGAAGAAACAATCAAGTTAGAAACAAATCTAAAACATGCATTTGCAATCAAACCAGTTGTCGCACTCCACGAGACACAGGTATACGCAATGCAAAGAAAGAATGAAACCATGGACCTACACTTTTATCCTTCTCAAGCCGGGCCAGGACACGCGCAGCGAAATCTTTTCTCTTCCGTGCCGGTGCCGGCTTGCTCTTCTTCTTTCGGCCGTACTGCGGCTGTGAGCATCCCTTCTTGCCATTCTTCTGCTTGACATCATAGCAATACAGGCAGACAACAACAGACCACGGTCATCATAGCAATACAGGCACACAACAACATACCACGGTCATCATACCCCTCACACACCTAGCCATTAAAAAAATCATCCACATGGATCACTGCATTCTCAATCAAATATTGTCTAGTTTTCTTTTCTTTTCCTTTTCACTTATCCCGTTATCAGCCCTCTTAAGAGTTGTGTATATCACTGTTGAGGCATCCGATGGTAAGAAAAATAAATACTACTACTAATCGTTGACAAGTGACGGGTCTACGGCTTCAGGAAGGCATTGGCTAATGAAATAAAGCTCTCACTACTTGGCGGGAGATTGGCAGACGCCAAGCCTTAAGCTAGCGTATGGTTTGTCTTATTCCCACACCGAGGACACCTAAGGTATCTTCCCAGTTCCAGAGCAGCTTAGAGCCCCTTGCTATGTTATTGATGAGGTAATATTTCAATGGCAAGTATTTCAGAATCACTACTGTATCCTTAATGTAAGTATTGACCCTCAGGCAGCCTCCTCCTAATCTAGTCCGAACCTTTAAGATTTGATCAAGATGAAAGAACGTTGAGTAATAATACAAAGAAGTTGGAGTGCAGAGCAGTGCAAGTTGAGGAATGGCTGTCATCACATTGTTGTTTTGCATAACTTAAGAAACGGATTTTTTAGTAACAAATTTGGCGATAATTATATGAAAGTTCGTTGCTCTCAATGTTCGAGCTTGCATCTTTCCCACTTTTCTGTAAAAACATAATGAGTCCGCTGAATGGAAAAGTGGGAAAGGTGCAAGTTCGAACATTGAGAGCAACGAACTTTCTTATAACTATCGCCGAATTTGTCACCTTCATCCCATGCACTCCATCATCTCAGCGGCATTGAAAAAAGACAAATTGCCAACAACCATAAGACGAACAGCGGCTGGTACCCAAATGCCATCCAACCAGTGGTAAAATGTTTGAGATGGAGTTGAATTCGAGAGAGAGATGTAAACCATCAGTCCTGCTCGACACAGAAGATAATGAATACCTCGGCCTCAGCTGCGATCTTCTCCGCTTTTTCCTCCTGGGCGATCTTCTCACACACTTTAGGCCAGGAATCACCCTCAAAGTATGGGATACCGGTCGGTACGCTGACTTGATCTTGAAGTGTAGACTGGTGAATATCCTGAAAGATCAAAAAAGTGAGAAAGGATAAACAACATTAGATTGCCAGTATAACAATAGGGATCAAACGGCTACGGTTTTCACCTTAACGGTTAACTGCTACGCTAACAGTCGATTTATCGGAGTACAACCTATAAGCTAGAGCAGTACGGCGTGTAGCTAGTTTGAACAGTATAGTACAATATCCTTGTTTGAAATGTACCGTGCAGAATTACTACTAATCCATACAAATGTCTGCATGCTCATTCACATAGATTCACAGATCAGAAGCATTAGAAAGATGTCATGAAGTTGATTCAAATTGTCATGAAGTTTCAAATTGTAACGGAAGGTACTATGTAGTGTACATTTATACATGTGTGCGTTGGATACCCTTTCGTTACACTTGGATAATCTGTATGTACTCCCATGTTGTTTGATACCCTTTGGATGAGGTATCGGTGGCAGGTAACTACTCTTGCTACTCTGGAAATCAACAAATTTTGGCCGGTGAGAAACTTTGGCCGATTTAGAAAAGATCGTTTAATAGTGGTTGCCCTCACGTGCAGCCATGGCTGAATTATGCATCATTTGCCTCGATGACAAATTTTGGCCTGCGGTTAACTTTGGCCAATTGGCACCAAGCGGCGGAATCAGCGAAATAAAATTGCCAGCGAAAATGAGTTGATTTAGAGCACTTACGCGAAACTTGATAACAACTTTTCGAACAACTGCACTGTCCAGCTTTGTCTTGTACCACGGTATTAGAAGCTGTTGTGTGAGTATCCTTTGCCCAGGTGGATGACAGTTGAAAATATAGTCTTGGTTTTTCCCAGGAGGGCATGCCCAAAGGTTAACAGCGACAAAGCCTCGCTTTGCTACATAGTCCTTATAGGCGATAAGCAGCTAATAATACACTTGAGTACGCAACTGCTTTGGCCGGAAGAAATGGACACTGTCCAGATACGAAAGGTATAAACGCCTACAATGAAAATACGCAAAGAACAGAGAGCAAGAAAACACCCAGTACACAATTTACCGCCATGGGCATGTGCCTACTCAGTCTGGCGACACTGGGCAACAAACGAGTTCAACCGCCGCCTGTCACTGTATGATGCACGGCATCCTCTGAAACACGCGACGGCCCATCTAAGCAAACAAAATGATAACCTTGTCCTCAACAAGCCCATCTCCACTGAATAGTACAGACTGCTGTTCCGCTCCACGAACAGCGAGGCTAAGGATTTTAGTAAAACCGTTACCTTCATTGGCTTCAAAGCTTTAATCACCGCCGACCATGTTGCTCCATCGGGTGATAATGGCCGCGTTCCTGATGGCACTTAGCACACAGGTCATAATCCTAGCATATGGAGGGACAAACACGTACAAAACACAAACACGTACAAAACAGCAATCAGATGCAGAATGGAGGCAGATCTGGACACTACTGGTGAGTAAAGAACCTGCAATCTGCAGGTGTTGCATGTTGTACAGAAGAAACTACAGTCATGTGGATTAAAAATTCTATCGTGTACGTCCAGTCTTCTCTAGAAGAACTAAAAGAACTTGAGACAAGAAATACGAACAAAAATCTGGAAAACATACAGTGGCCAATAGGAATATGCAAACTTACGTCACACACTGAGCAATGGAAACGACTTCCAATAATTTCAGCCATGCAGGTATTGGAGCGGTAGCCGATTACATTGCACTGGCTTTGCGGCTCGATAAGCATGCACAGTGTAGCGTACTGCGCGTGCAGCAAAGTTGTAAACTCGAGATGATTCTTACGAAAGTACGCAAGAATTGAATCCCGACTCTCCATCACATTGCTGCTTTGCTGCTCGGCCACATCCTCCTGCATGGGTTTAAGGTTGGCAATCTTTTCTGAAGAAATCAGCGTGATGGTGAAGAATGCCTGGCCAAAAGGAACAAGAATAAAGCTAATGTAAGGAAATTTTGGCAGCAACGAATACAAGAAATCAGCGTAGGCGATAATACCAGCAACACCCAAGGAGCTAGTAAGGCCGTCATCACACTTCGTTCTCTGGCTTCCCCTTACGTCTGCGTCCACAGTGAAAAATCCAAAACGGGTAGTCGTGTCATCAAACAGGCACAGTTCTTGACCAGTACACGCGGTCATGTTTTGGAGAAATTTGAAGATTCGCACGTACAAGGTCGCTTGGAAACAGACTGTGGGAGATACACCCTTTTATACAAAAAGTGGCCCACTCCCTACCACGTCTACGTTTCCCGTTTCTTCTGCTCCCGCTTTCACTTCATACATGGATCATCATGACAACCGACCAAAACCTTATGTGGATGTAGACACAGCGCTTTGTACCGTAGTGTGATGACAGCGTAACAGCTGGGGCATAAACTAAGACACTAGTAGAAGGTTCAACAAGAAATGGTTTCAATAAAAGAGTAACACCCAAAGGCAATAATTTTACAAACTAATACCATTATGAACTTAGAAGTTGCGACTTTGGCGGTACTAGTCATGAAGTTGGTTGCTCCAACGAGGAGCACAAACTTCTTGTCGAACTTGACACACTGTGTATTGAGCAGGCAGTGGTGCTTTCTTTCAGGTTTGCCGAGCGGAAGGTGCAACGTGCTCCACGTGTGCTCCGGATGGCAATCGTGAGTCAGTCAAGTGTCAAGTTCGGCAAGAAGCGTGTGCTCCTCGTTGGAGCAGCCAACTTTAGTACCATGATGACACACTCTACAAAAAATAAGCCATTTTCAAACATCGAATGTTACGTGCGGAAATTCATTTTAATATTCAGACACAAGGGCATACATTTTCGATAGCCACCTTTCATAATCAAAGGACGACAGAGAGCGTGTCGTAATTTGCAATCACCTGTGGTCCACAGATGAAGCTGTATGTTCTGATAGCCTTATAGTGTGTACGTCGCAAACTTGCCTCACCCAATGCCAGGCTTGCACTGTAAATAGAGAGAGTATTGCGATAACCTAAACTGTAGGACTGAAACGAACACAATTTCTCAGCAATCGAACGTTCTTGACTCTAACGAACGAACCAAAGAACAAATGTTCTTGATTGATAATTCACGCAAATCGTCAGAGTTCTGACAAGGGCATGAATACCCGCCACATGATACAGGCAAAAAGTATACTTCAAGGAGGAAACCAACGCCATTGACATGACAACCTTCAGCGACCTTGCTTCGCTCTCCGTTGAGAGCAACATCGCCCCAGAAACGCTGTCAGATGGCTCAGTACGGTTGTACGCTGATTGTAATAAAACATTTGTGTCGAGCATATTGGGAAAAAAATTTCAGTTCTAACATTCGTTACCTCACAAATGTTCATTCTGCAAAGCTAAATTAACGAATATTTGAATAGTCGAGATTTCAGCCCTATACTAAAGCATGTCTCATGCACGGCTTTCCCTTCCCAACGGTGCATGATTCTCCCACAATTGCGAATTTCGACCAAATTATTGATTACGAAATTTCCCATGTGGGCCATTTTGTGGGTAAAATGGCTAAATATGGCTTTTGAGAAGAATATCATAACTGTTCATCTAGATTTTGATTGTGAAGGGCTGCACTAAAGCTGATTTCTTGCTCATGATATTCAACTCCGAAGAAACAATCAAGTTAGAAACAAATCTAAAACATGCATTTGCAATCAAACCAGTCGTCGCACTCCACGAGACACAGGTTAACGCAATGCAAAGAAAGAATGAAACCATGGACCTACACTTTTATCCTTCTCCAGCCGGGTCAGGACACGCGCAGCGAAATCTTTTCTCTTCCGTGCCGGTGCCGGCTTGCTCTTCTTCTTTCGGCCGTACTGCGGATGGGAGCATCTCTTCTTGCCATTCTTCTGCTTGACATCATAGCAATCAGGCACACAACAACAGACCACGGTCATCATACCCCTCACACACCTGGCAAATAACAAAAACCATCCACATGGATCACTGCATTCTCAATCAAATATTGTCTAGTTTTCTTTTCTTTTCCTTTTCACTTATCCCGTTATCAGCCCTCTTAAGAGTTGTGTATATCACTGTTGAGGCATCCGATGGTAAGAAAATTAATACCACTACTGGTCATTGACAAGTGACGGCTCTACGGCTTCAGGAAGGCATTGGCTAATGAAATAAAGCTCTCACTACTTGGCGGTGGTCAATCATGTTGTGGACAGTTTCTTGCCTGTGTTGGTCGTGCCTTGCCATGTCGCCGTCCAATTGATCTGCCAGCGCGCGGAACAGACAATTCCTGAAGGTACCAGTGACAACAATGTGAATCGACAACAAGGATTACACATCAACACCAGGGTATACTGATGCAGGTAGCGGTATTGACAACAAGGATGACACTTCAACACCAGGGTATACTGATGCAGGTAGCGGTATTGATACCAAGGATGACACATCAACACCAGCGTATACTGATGCAGGTAGCGGTATTGACAACAAGGATGACACATCCACACCAGGGTATACTGATGCAGGTAGCGGTATTGACAACAAGGATGGCACATCAACACCAGAGTATACTGATGCAGGTAGCGGTATTGACAACAAGGATGACACATCAACACCAGCGTATACTGATGCAGGTAGCGGTATTGACAACAAGGATGACACATCAACACCAGGGTATACTGATGCAGGTAGCGGTATTGATAACAAGGATGAAACATCAACACCAGGGTATACTGATGCAGGTAGCGGTATTGACAACAAGGATGACACATCAACACCAGGGTATACTGATGCAGGTAGCGGTATTGACAACAAGGATGACACATCAACACCAGGGTATACTGATGCGGGTAGCGGTATTGACAACAAGGATGACACATCAACACCAGGGTATACATGAAGACACTATTCAATACTACAATAGAGGGCCCTATTTTTTTCCAATGCTGGCACATTTATGTCATCCAGCATTAGGCCTGGGCGGATACTGCTAGCATTATAAGTAGCATTATAGTGTGCGATTTGCAACGGGCACTATGCTAGCATTATAACACTATTTTGTATTGTATTTATTTAAAAGGATTCTCCAAAAGCAAATGGATGCTTATCACGGAAGTCTCCCACATAAATATCGCAAGAAAAATGGGGAAATGGGGGAGAGGAGAGTGGAAGATGAAGCATGGGAAGAAGGGAAACAAGTACCTAAATATCGAGGTATAAAAGCAGGAAAGAAATCGACGAGGGAAGAAATCACCTCTGCAGATAATAGCGGGACATTTAGATGAAAAACCCCAGCAAGGATTAATTTCAAGGAAAAAAATTTCTCAAACGGAAAAGTTCGGAATTCCAGTCAGAGAATATCTATGCTGAGAGTAATGAGCCTTTAGAGCAATGCGAAAATTGACAGAGGACTGAACGCAGCGGATGCGTTCTGGAAGTTTGTTCCATTGCACAGATAAACTGAAGAGAGGGGATTTAAGGAAATGGGCGCCAGAACGAGGTAAAACTATAGAGGACGGGTGACGACAACTAAGAGATACATTGAATTTGAAACGAATTAGCAAAGACGGACTACATTTCCACAAAAGTGGCATTATACTCAAATGGCCCTTAGTTCTGCGAAAACCAGGCTTAGTTACTTATAGTTAGGGTGAAAATCATTTTTTTGAGAAAAATGATGTTTTGTAAAAAGGTTGTGTCGCGTGGACGGTCGAGTGCAGTGAAGTGGAACCAAAGAGAACCTAGCTTGTTTGAACAAGTAGCAGTCATGGCAGGAAGGGTTTCAGCAGTCAAGGAAATCAAAGGGCTTCCGGTAGAATATTCCCTGCTACTCCTCTAGTCACAACGAAGAGTTTTTGAGCTGATCAAACGGATTCCATCTGCTACACTCAGGGATGGCGAAATTTCTGCCCTAGCTGCTGCTTGCGGAAAATGGTGAAGAAATCGTGTCCAGTTAGAGTCGTGATGGCGATAGTGAGGAGAACCTGGACGACATCGATCCAGCCAATCGAAGTACGGAGATACTAGCTGTTTCTGGGCCTCACACAAAGGGAACACGCGCAGCAGAGCTCATACGTTTGCAGCAAGTTCACGAGGAAAAAGCCTTGAAGCGCAGTGTGAAAACTGTTTTGCATTGAAGTCCTTGGCGATGAAGTGCTACTGAATGCCAGGCGAATGAGCGAGCAGATCGAGAGACCTCCACTCGAGACTTTCCTCGCTGGACAGCTATGTGCAAGGGATTGTATGAAGCAATAGCAGCATACAATAAGCATTATGATCATGATTATCTAGTATTTTCCATGCTGTCTACGTAGAACTACGAAACGTGCACAATACTGCCCAAACCAAGCCATTTTTCATACTTACTGCTGGTGAATTGCTGGCATTACAGAGGAACAGCAGCATTATAAGTAGCATTATGATACAGTTTTTCTGGCATTGCCATTGGCATTATCACGCAAAATAACTAGCATTGTCCGCCCGGGCCTATCCAGCATGGTAGATGTCCTTAAGCCAGGGTCCATGGTTCGAGTCCTGGTGGTGACAGTCAACTTTTTTCTTCAGACCTTTCCCGTTTGCAACTTTCCCTCGAACTGATGGATATTCGGTAGATGTGTTGGGTTTTTTTCTACACCAAATGGTAGATTCTGCTTTCCTCTACCGGCTCTACCAGGTTTGAGGCTGGTAGAAGTCGGTAGAGGTACGGCATTTCTGTCCTTGTGGGACCATGAGAGCTGTTTCCCACAAAATATCATAATATTATCGTACAGTAAAATCGACGTTCTACCGAAACTGGTAGATCTGCGTTCGGAAACTATCATCTACTCTCCTTTCTTTTTCCAACAACCACTCTACTCAATTTCAAATGGTGAACGGTACTATTCGGCCAATAAAATGTAAAGAACTCTTCCTCCCCTCTCCTCCATGCGCTCTCACAGCTGACTCACTGCTACCTCGGTAGCCAATACACACACCAACAGCAATACAAGGAAGGTAGATACTGTCATTCTTCCTCACAGCTGCTTCGCCTTCATAAGGCTCATCAGAGAAGGTGATATTGAATAGGCTGATATTATAACAGAGACCAGCGCTATTTCCAGGGATTATTTGCACCATGACAAAAATCTACTCTTGGTTTTGCTTCAGCGTACCGGATACCATGCACACTATACACTGTAGTACATGATTGTGCACAATTTGCACTGCGTACTTACCCATCTCCCGGCACATCCTTGATTTTCAAGCCTTTTGCCTGCAGCTGGTTAGCAAAGCTGATGAATTCAACATCGTCCTCTTCCAGGTAGTTTTATCTCTTGCTTTGTCTCTCATGTTTCAAAGCTGGCTTTGCCGACCGCTCCTCTCGCTTACGTCCTTCCTCCTTGTGACGCTTACTTTTGGATTGTTTTTTCTTTGCCATTCTGATCAAAATGTGTCGGACAGCAGCTACTGCGGTATGCACGACGACAAGGCAATCCTGCTCTTCGGATGACACAGACTGAGACTACAGTACTACTCGAAACAGACAGTGGATGTTGCTATTACTAGCACTGCCTAATCAGTATGCCAGTTATCACGATAGAGTGGAAGACGAATGCTCAACTTGAAAAGAATACAATAAAATAGAACTGTTCCTCTAGCTCTCACAACATGAACAACAATAACAAGCAGATAGCTGTACGTGTGTGTTTTGAAGATCAGCGAGAATCAGTAAAAACAGGAGACTGCAACTGTGATCGCGCGTAGGTAGGTCTACGCGGCATGGCGCCTACGTAACTCGTTAATAGACCCTTTGCACAATAAGCGAGAGCGGTCGAGACGTGGCATGCTGTGCGCGCGCTGCACACTTGGCATGCAATCAGCATGCATGGTTTGCTAAATAATTAATTGCTTGTGTCAGCCGCATGTATGATGTAGCCGTAATAACGTAGGCGCCATGCCGCGTAGACCTACCTACGCGCGATCACAGTTGCAGTCTCCTGTTTTTACTGATTCTCGCTGATCTTCTAAACACACACGTACAGCTATCTGCTTGTTATTGTTGTACATGTTGTGAGCGCTAGATGAACAGTTCTATTTTTATTGTAAATTATTTAATAATTTTAATTATCTTAAAGTAGTCTTCACTCACTCAAGTGACTACATAGCAGAGAGTAGATGTACGCAACCTCGTTCCTACGTCATCAAGCTGCCTGAAAACTCGTATTAACCGCCACAGTGAAAGGGTTTCAAATGTCCAATAAACTGTACTAGTAAGAGCACCAAGTTATGATATGAATAGGATGAAGGCCACAGACATCACGCAACTACGTTACTTGTTTGACATGTATTACTGTAGCATTTATATAGTAATAATGCACATTAATAGGTGCACGCGGCTGCTTCGTGCTACCACTCAAACTATGCTGCATGCTATGATTGCTGGCGCTTTACTGCACATGCATGCTCATGCTTTGCTGCTGGCAACAGTCACGTGCGCTGGACACCACGGTATCCATGTCGGTCACACGCCTTGGTGCATGCTCACATGGTACTCTATGCGTCGTGGCATGACTGTGTCATTCAACGCGCGTGGCACTCAACGGGACATAATCATTCATTCATGCGCGACGCTCAACGTAGGCGGCATGGGTCGTGGGCACTCAACGTGTCATGCTAAAGTAACCGGCGTTCATGTGTGTCGCTCGCCTCCGATGTGGAAAGCGTGCGGCGGCGCGCGGCGTGTGGAGTTCATGCGTGTCGGTCGCCTCCGATGTGGAAAGCGTGTGGCGGCGTTATGATGACGTTTGCTTGTAGCTCAACGTGGGTGGGATGCATCGTTGCATGTCTTGCTAGAGTTTGCTCTGCTATTATTAATTTTCGATCCGTTCTGTGCCACGATCATTCTTGCTTGCTCGTAGTGTTTTAGTCATTATAATTTCGATCCGTTCTGTGTGTGGATCACTCTTGTCAGATCATTGTGTTTCACAGTTCTCTTGGGTTTGAATAATTCGGGCAGGAAAGCTGCCTGTTTCAGTGTTTCACAGTTTGTATTTTGCTCGTTCTCATCCTTGTGCTTTGCCTCGTTCTCATCCTTGTTGTCGGGAGCCATGGCTGCCTTTACTGTCAGTGAAATTCGCGCCATGACGGTTCTGCGTCTCCGCAGCGAACTCTCGCTCTTCAGTTTGAATAATTCGGGCAGGAAAGCTGCCCTCGCCGATCGCCTGTTTCAGTGTACTTCACCACGCTGAATCCTGCCATTCTACCCCGAGCGCGGCGAGCGGAGCAGGAAGCAGAGAACGCGAGTCATTGGCGACATCTGCGTCACCAACGTCAGCTATAACTCCGGAGACCTTGCGCTCCACGATTGCTTCGATGGTTTCAGAGACGTTACCAGTGTCTGCTCTAGGATTGTAGGACAGCCGGGTACACGTGTACCTGGCGCAACCATTTCAACCGGGTCGTAACCGGGTACACATGTACCTGGCGCTGTCTCACCAGCCGAGGCACATGCTTTAAAGGGGAAGTATACCCTAAAATCAAATTTTCACCAGTTGTAGTCTTCGGGGTGCTGAGTCGAATGGTCTTGGTCCGAGGAAGCTGAGACGCTCCCTTCCTACTTGAATCCCAATCGAACTCGCGCACTTCCACCGAAACTGGGTGACTGCGCCCTACTAGATGGGGATTTGTATGCAAAATGTCACTAAAAGCGCCATTTCGTTCTTATAAAAGCACGGATGACCGCGATTGGCCCATATGTTGTAGTCTTTTGGACGCTGAGTCGACTGGTTTCGGTCCGAAAAGGCTGCGATGTAGCGTTCCTCCTTTATTCCCAATCGAACATGGTTGAACAAGCGGTCACGTGCTTCTGCGTACACCAGTCACCTGGTCACCGTGCCTGCAGGGTACAACTTACTAGCCTGTTTGACCTTTTTTGGGTGCACTCCTGTCACTCGAGTTGAATTCGAGTTGAACCTTGGTGTGAAATTTGTCGCCTGCTGGCGTGGTGACCAGGTGATTTGGGCACCCAGGAGCACGTGACCGCTTGTTCAACCATGTTCGATTGGGAATAAAGGAGGAACGCTGCATCGCAGCCTTTTCGGACCAAAACCAGTCGACTCAGCGTCCAAAAGACTACAACATATGGGCCAATCGCGGTCATCCGTGCTTTTATAAGAACGAAATGGCGCTTTTAGTGACATTTTGCATACAAATCCCCATCTAGTAGGGCGCAGTCACCCAGTTTCGGTGGAAGTGCGCGAGTTCGATTGGGATTCAAGTAGGAAGGGAGCGTCGCAGCTTCCTCGGACCAAGACCATTCGACTCAGCACCCAGAAGACTACAACTGGTGAAAATTTGATTTTAGGGTATACTTCCCCTTTAACTGGTCGGTTGGTTTATTTTAATTCGGACAATAAACGGGAACTAGGTCCAATGACATAAAGGCGAATGGATAAGCCGCATTTAGAAAAGAGAGGGCAGGAATTAGAAAATTACGAAAGAAGAAGAAGTATCTGACACATACAAGCCATGTGGTCAGTCCTTTCAAAGTTCTAAAGTGTAAAGTACCAACCGGGTTACAGGTGACCCGGTACTATAATATTTTCAACCGGGTCCAAGCGCCACCCAACCGGGTGGATTACCCGGCTCACCCGGCGCTGGAGCAGGCACTGGTTACCTACAACTTAGTACAAGTCTGGCGGCCATGGATTCACAACCTCATCCGCACCAGGGCCCTCACCCAGCCAGCTTAGGGAGCAGCAAGTCTTTCGCTGTACACCTGGGCACTAACTAAGGGCCGGGTTCCACTGCGGCTCGCGTCCGCGTTGCGTGAGTCAGAAACGCATGCTGACGCGAAGCCCCTCTGTTCCACACTACAATCGTCACGCGAGGTTCCGCGGGCAGAATCGGCTGAAAATTTCTGTAAAAGGTGGAAATTCAGCTCTAAAGTCGCAGCCACCTTTCGCAGATAATAGGGCTTGAAAGTGATGACGTCAAAACGGCCAGGGAGTACTAAGTTGACATCAGATTTCTATTTTGGATCCACTAAGGTGTGACTTTGCTATTGCCTCAGTATGTGGGTGCATAGCAACCCACTCATGTCGTATGCAGGGGTGACTTTTACTTCGCCACCAGTTGTAACCCCGCCCCCAGTAGCCAAATCAGTCAGTTTCACTGGTTATATCACCTTGCTGTGAGTAAGACGGCTTGAAATGTGCTTGGATCGCTCTATTGATACTGCAAAATCGCTCTGTTGACGCTGCAAAATTGCTTATCATCTCCCTCCCTCCCTCCCCCCCCCTCTCTCTCTCTCTCTCTCTCTCTCCCCCCGTTGCTCTCTCCCATTTGAAATTCGCTTCCATAGAATTGGGCACCATTGCCCGTTTGGCCTTAGTAGTAGTAGTATTTATTTTATTTACCATCGGATGCCTCAACAGTGATACACACAACTCTTAAGAGGTCCGATAACGGGATAAGTGGAAAGGAAAGGAAAAGAAAAGAAAAAAATAGAAAAAATTGGAATTCAGACATCAAGCAGTAAAGTAATCAAACACCAAGTCAACTTCAATCTTAGTACAAGAACTATCAAGATCATCGAGAAACTCAACAGATTCCAAAAAGAAGGTCAAAATACTTCTTAAACGCCACTGGGTCTTTAAAAAGATCCCTGAGTTGGTTTGCAAATGTAGAGGTACGGTGGTGAAGAATTTACTCCATCAGTTGTCCGGTGCTTAGATATGGCAATGGAAGCATTAGAGTGTAGGCCTTGACAGATTATGCTAATATTTTCGTGAAATTATGCTTTTCGCATTGCTGAAAAAATTGCAGAATTATGCTATTTTTATGCTAAAAGTTATCATAATTATTATGCCGCATTATTCTCACATATGCTGCTAATGTATATGATGGTTCTGTTCAAAATAACAGGTTATTTTTTTTGTAGAGGGCGTTGTACTGTAGTAGCGAAAGTTCAACGGGGTCAACGCACCGTCCGACCTAGCTACGACCGTCACTGATTGTAGTGGACTGGACATGTTATCAAGGGTGTCGTAAACCTACACCTTCCTGGTGCATCTACATGTACTTGTACTTGTAGAACATGTACAACTGTATGGAATTTGATGTGAACAGGCGGATTATTCCAATTTTATGCGATTCGTATGCAATTTGCCTCGAATTATGCGATTATTCGGTTTTGGTAGGAATTATGCGAAACATTATGCTAGCATAATCTGTCAAGGCCTATTA